TATGCTACCAGAGCTCCCATAAAACATATCACTTTGAAGATTGTTGTTGTTAAGTGCTGTTAAGTCAGACCTAACTCATAGTAACCCCTCCTTGGGTTTCCAAAGCAGTATCACTACGGAAGTAGATTGCCCAACCTTCCTTCCAAGGAGTGGCTGGTGGGTTTGAACCACCATAGTCAAGTGCCTTAGGCACTATGCTACCAGAGCTCCCCAGTGTAGGAGGAGATTAAACAAGGGCCTAAACACAGGACGCAAGAATCACTGGTGGCCACCTTAGATACTGACTACCAAAGACTGTTTAGTAGATGGCACTGGGAAAGCTAGCTCACTCTATGAGGGACAAAAAAGTTAAATAAATACCTTTGCATTCACATTTACAAAGTAAATTCCACTTGGAATAAAAGACTTACACTAGAAAGTACAACTATAAAGTTAACAGAAAATACAGAATAGGATAAAATTTTTTTAAGTTAAGACCCCAAAAGGACACACCATTATGCAAAAAATATTCAGAGATTCTGACTATATTAAAATCAAGAATTTTTCTAGCTGACAATGGATAAAATCTTCTTAAATAAGACCCCAAAAGGATACACCACTAGGCAAAAAATATTAAGAGATTTGACTACATTAAAATCAAGAATTTTTCTAGCTGATAATGGAAATTGTGGTTTTATAAATAATCCCACATAATGTTAAAGGAATACTATGATTTTAACAATTATTCTACAACCGGAGTGCAATTACTGATTTAGGCAAGGATAATTAATTGATGTGCAATTGATGGGAAACACATGTTCATATGGTAACCAAATAATACCACACGATTACTTTATGGCTGCCAACAGGGACTGTAACAACAAAGGAGGAGCAAACCACCATCACTTGAATCCTGCAACCAAATCTGAGCATTACTAATGATGGGTTGTATTAGCAACACTGAAGGTCTTTTGATGTGACCACAATATGGAACGTGTAACATCACCTAAAATGTACTGTAGTCAAAATGTTTAATATCAAACTTTTAAATTTAACTTCTAGTTCTAGACATTCAGGGTAGGGTAGGGTTAACAAACCAAATGATACCATAAGGAAACCACCAGACAAATTCAGAAGGAGGGTTTTCGTGCAACGCAACTGCAAGTTAGTATCATGTCTTCGATTGGAAGAGACCTAAGGAATGTAACCACCAGACCTGACTGGCTCCTGGCTTAGATAAACCAGCTATCAAGACATTTACGGAACAACTGGAGAAATCTGAATATGGCCTGGGTGTCAGATAAAACTTTATTGACATAAAAAGATGGCAATCATTAACAGCAACAACAAAAGAAGGCAGATTACAAAACAGCACATACAACAGGATTATATTTTGGCAAACACACAGAGGAAAGGACCTGGGGGAGATACGGTGCTTTTATTTTATTTTTTTATTATGTGTTATTTTCTGAATTTCTACAATGCATATATTCTGCTTTAAAAATAATAAATGGTTAATAGTGATTTTTTTTAAATCAAGGATTTGTATTCAACAAATGCCACAGATGACTGATATTCTAAGAGAAAATATTTGCAACATCTAAACTGATTAGAGATAATTGTCGACAACAGCCTTTCTCAACTGGAGTTCCTCATATCAATCTTAAAACCCAGAAAATTATCTGACTATTTTCTCAACTCTCCCAAGGATTGTAGATAAAGAGTACCATTCTAGGTGCATCGTTGTTGTCGTTGTTATGTGCCGTTGAGTCGGACCCGACTTACAGCAACCCCTCCTTGGGTTTCCGAGGCAGTATCACTACGGAAGTAGATTGCCCAACCTTCCTTCAGATTCTAGGTGCATAGGAACCAAAAAAAAAAAAAAAAAAAACACCCAACAAACTCACTGCCATCAAGTCGATTCCGACTCATAGCAACGCCCTTTGGGTTTCCGAGGCAGTAAATCTTACGGAAGTAGCCTGCCCAGTCTTCCTTTCGTGGAGTGGCTTCTGAGTTTGAACCGCCAACCTTCTAGTTAGCAGTCAAATGCCTCAGGCACTATGCCACCATACGGGAAAAGTTAATTTATAATGTACAGTGAGAACCTGAGGATAATAGGCCTAAATTCCCTCTAGGAAACCAGGTTGCAAAAGACTTGAGCTAAAATATTCAAGAAACTTCTGCGAAGCAAAAAGAAAGAGACAGGAAACACAGTAGGATATTTGGTGAAGAACAGGACCAGGCAGTTCAAAGGGGAAACCGGACACACCGAGTGAGTCCATGAGAAGATGCTCGACTCCACTAGGAGCCAGAGGACTGCAGATTAAAATGAGGTCTCTCCACAGCCATCCACCGGCAAGATCAGGAAGCTGGATGATGCTGTGTGTGGTGGAGGACATGCAGGAACGGGAGCCCTCTCACACTGCCAACAATGAGCATGAACTGCTACGATCACTCTGGAGGGTAAACTGATGATGCTTAATGAAATGCAGTATGCACGTGCCCTGGGATACAGGAGTTCCTCTCCCAAACACAAATGTGAGAAACCCTGGCACAAGACCACAGGGGGACATGTTCAAGGATGCTCACTGTGGCACTGTTTATAGGGACAGGAATGGGGGTGGGGAGGTGGCAGGAAGTAGGAAGCAATCTAGGTCTCCTATCGCAGGGGAATGTGCACATAACATGTGGTGAAAACACACCACTATCCCTGCAGAGTAGTCAGAAGTGAAGAACTAGATGTATACAGGGCAGAGTGAGGAGATCTCAAAAACAGTGAAAAAGAAGAACTAAGAACACAATCTACGGCTTGATGCCATTCAGGAAAATTAAAAACATGTCCATGCCCAAAGCAGTGCTTTAGGTTTTCAAGGGTAGAAACATAATCCAAGCACATATATCAAAACATTAGAATTGGAATGGGTGCCTATGGGGAGAAGGTTGAGTGGGAATGAATAAAATAAAATGAGACAAGATTTGCATAGACCAATGGTTATTAAGTGCCATAAACTGAGAAGCACAATGAACTGAATTCCCTGTACCTCCTTAAAACAAACAAACAGAATTCCAAACAAGCAAACTCTAGATGTGTGGGGTAGGGATGGAAGTCTCAGGGAAACCTGGAAAGGAGGTGGCTGGAGCAAAGAAGGAAAAGACTTGGGCGTTGGATCACCTGGGGTTGAAACTTGAGCTCTACCATTATGGGCTCTTTGACCTTGGGTGCATCACCTAACCTCGCTCATGTTTCTTTGTGTGTCAAACATGAGTATAAGATGTATATTTAAGCAGAGAGCAACTGCGCCTGACACACAGTGGGTAACAGCATGAGCTGTATTTAAAGTTACAGAACAGAATCACTTCCACCATCATCTCGGTTCAGCGTATTTTTCAAACTGCAAGTAGTAACTCATCGCTGTTGTTATGTGCTGTCGAGTCAGACATGACTCACAGTGACCCCTCTTTGGGTTTCCGAGGCAGTATCTCTGTGGAAGTAGATTGCCCAACCTTCTTTCCAAGGAGTGGCTGGTGGGTTTGAACCACCAGCCTTCTGGTTAACAGTCAAGTGCCTTAGGCACTATGCCACCAGAGCTCCTAGTAACACATTAATGGCCATGAAATCAGTTTAATGGGCCCCAAACCATATTTAAAGAAAAATAAAAAGGAAGGAAATAAAATATATCAGAGTCAACGTATCATTTTATAAAACTTCCTTCAGTTTTGCGTGAGTATAAAATGAATTTTTTTTTTCTGTAGGTTGACGTAAAAAAGTTTGAAAAACATGGATGCTGTCCAAAGGAATCCTATCATCTGGGGTCTTAAGAGCCAATAAATACTGTTAAAGGTGGTAAGAGACTTTGGGACACAGATCATGGTAATGGTTGTATAAAATGCTGAATGTAATTAATGCCACTGAATTTGACACTTAAAAGTGGCTAAAATGGCAAATTTTCATAATAATTACAATTAAAAAAAAAACCATTAAGCATCCCCCAAGATAACAGAGCATTGTTCACAGTTGCCATCTTTTAATATACCAAGTAAAGGCTTTTAAAAAGAATCTCTTAATCTCCTTTACCATTGTATCATAAAAGAAAACTTGAAACATTGTAAAGACAGAACAAAACACTCACTACAGTGTACTACTTCTAACTTTTGGAACATGAGGACACAATGCCAGGTATGGCAAGAGATTTACCCAAGGTCACTTGGCCGTGGGAGAGCTAAGCCTGAACCCCTATGTCTTGGCTGTGCTTTCCAAACCCTGCTTCTCAAAACCTGCGGGGACCCACAGAAGTGCCTCAAGAGTTGCTGTAGGGCAGAAGGGGAGCCTGACAGGTGGGACTGGAACTTCTGACCCTATTTTATCACGAGCAGCTCTATTTCTATGAGATTTTATTTCATTTGAGGAAAAGGTTTCATTAAAAAGAAAGAAAGAAAACCAGGACAGGGGTGGGGCAAGCTGCTTTCCAGGAAAGGACAAAATCATGGAGGTCATTATATTCCAATTTAAATTTATTTTCCTACTGGTAGTAAGGAACTAGTTAGGATTTCTGCATAAAGTACAGCATAGAGTGGGGTCGTGCTCAACGATACGCAGGAGACAGTGGAACATCTAGATTGACTGCATGAAAACAGCAAGAAGCAGAGAGAGCTTATAACCACCGTGACAGTCTGACCCGAGAGGGTGAGGGCCCTGCCTGAGGTCACAAATTCTCTGGGTCATAGCCAGTTTCAGAGCTGGGCCAGAAGGCAGCCTCTTCAGGCAGTATCCTACATCCCCCTTCTTCCTGTTCTAATGTTAAGCACTGAACTACTAACTGAAACGTTGGCAGTTTGAACCCACCAGCCGCTTCGTGGGAGGAAGAGGTGGCAGTCTACTTCCATGAAGATTAGTCTTGGAAACCCTGTGGTCAGAATCAACTCGACAGCAATGGGTTTAGTATCCAACGGCTTGAATGGCTCATTCTCCCGGGCACATGGGTATAGGGGTGGGACTGAGGCGACAGGGAAGGGGCCCTCACCTGCAGGGCCAGCTGGCAGTCCTCAATCAGGCCCTGTACCAGGTAGTAGCGTGCTTCGCCCAGCAGCTCCCCTAGTTCTCTGGTACTCTCAGGCAGTGGCACAGACCCGTCCCGCAGGTAGTTGAGGATTGTACCAAAGTGGCGGCCACTCCGGTCAATCAGCACCCAACCTGCAAGGGTGGGAGGAGGCACGAAGTAGGTGACTTTGCTGGGGGCCTTGGAGATACTATTTGTTATGAGGAAAGAACCCCAAGAATACAACAAAGTCTAAATTCTGATTTCCCCCAAACTTTTGCCATCTCCAAGAAAATCCCTTTAAAACATCTTCAGTCCCGTAGGCTCCTTTTTTTTTTTTTTTATATTAAAAAAAAAAATTCCAACCACAGAGAATAAATTCCTTCCCAAGTCTGTTCTGTGGTCAGAAGGTTCTCACCATGAGAAAACTGTCATGGAATTACCTTATTAATAAACCTCTCACCTGTCTCGTTACTTCTGACCATCCTATTTAACATATCTATCCCCACCCTCCAGGTCACCACCATTTGAACCTTTATTTTGCATCTGCACAGAATGTATTACCATCTGCAATTACATATATTTTGTTTGTTTACTTGCTTATTGTCTCTCCCCCTAAAAAAGTAAAATTTCATGGGGGTAGGTCTTGTCAAATTTCTTTACCAATGTATTGCCAGAACTAAGGCACTTGGCTGCTGACCAGAAGGTCACTGGTTCAAACCCACCAGCTGCACTGCGGAAGGAAGACTGGGCAATCTACTTCCATAAAGATTTACAGCCTCAAAAACCCAATGGGGGTCACTATGAGTCGGAATCGACTCCCTGGAGGTAGTCTGGTTTTTGGTTTAAGGAGCTCTGGTGTCTCAGTGCCTAAGATGTTTGACTGCTAAGCAAAAGATTGGCTGTTCCAACCCACCAGATGCTCTGTGCAAGGAAGATGAGGCAATCTACTTTCGTAAAGATTTACCACCTTGGAAACCCACTGGGGGTTGCTATGAGTTGGAATTGACTCAATGGCAGTGAAATTTACAAATACTTGTCGGATAAATCAATCATTCACCTTCAGATATCTGATAGCTGAGCACCATTTTCCAAATTTTTATTTTCCTGTTCTCAGCATCTTTGTCAAACTCTTCTGAATCCCCTCAGTTTACTGTCCCCCTCAGGCACGTGAGGCCCAAATCTGAATGAATAAGATAACTACCAAGAAAAGCTGTCCACTCTCACTCTGGTGTCCCTGGCTAACTCAAAGAACCTTTCTTCTTCAAACTGCATTTACGGGTGAATTCCTAAAGCATATAGAACTTGTGTTAGCAAAACACAGAGGCTGACAAGATCTCCCAGTCTTCCAGGCAAGTGTTAGTGGTGGGGAACAAAACGCTGAGGGTTGGAAGAAACTGATAAAGGTTGCCTGGAGGGGCTGCTGCCGGCAGGGGGTGGTTCCTAAGTCGTTTGAACCGAGCGGTGATGGATGAGAGAACAGGGGAGCGGGTGGAAAAAGGACGTGAGTGACAGCTTGTGGTGACAGGGCCTGGAGGATTTAAAAAAAAAAAACACCCAAACCCACTGCCGTCGACTCGACTCTGAGTGCTAACGACCCTGCAGAGTTAGGGGATCCTAAATGTGGGTCACTGTAAAGTACAGAAGGGGGGAGATTATGAATGAGAAACGGAAGATGACACGGGAGACTGGACGAAGAAAGAGCTGGGGGGAAGGGAAGCCGGGGAATGAACGATGGTACAAGCGGCGCGCATACCTCCCGCGTCGGTGAGCACCTCCACGCGACCACTAAACATGGCCTTAAGCATGGTGTCCTGTGCCGTGAGGGTGCGCAAAGTGGTGTAGTGCAGAGAGCCTCCCACGTTCAGCTTCACGTACTTGCTGTTCGAGGTCAGCGGACTGAGACTGTAGGCAGCGGAGCCAGGCTCCAGTACCGAAGGCTTTGGGGCTTCCGGAAACTGGTCCGCGGCCGCCGCCGGGCCCGAGGCCTCGGCCGACATGCCGGGTGGTGGCGGCTGGCGGAGATCCCAGCCTCTCTCTGCGCCCTCCGGTCCGCTCCCAAAGACCCCCTGACTCTGGCCCCTGCACCAGAGCGTTTGGTCCGCAAGCCCATACGCCTCAACTACTTGGCGACACGGGCACTCGCACTCATCGCTTCCGCAAGGCCCAGAAGCCGAGGACCAGCAGCTGCGCAGGCGCGTCAAGGTCCCGCCTCTGGCCTCGGGGAAAAGAATGCAGAGCATGCGTGGTGGTTTTGGAGGGCTACGGGAGCCGGAGGCGAGCGCGAGCTTCACATCTGGCTCTTGACCGCGGGGTGTGGGGCCTTCTCGCGAATCAGGGAGACCAGAGCGAGATCCGGAGACAATGCACTTGCTTGACGTGTAATGTTGTGTCTTCGTGCCACATTTGGTTCTCCGCTTTCAGAGCGTTTTCCAGGCTTAAAGAGAAAACAGACCCAGAGAGGGGAAGAAATTTGGGCATGGTTTTCCACCTCCCAGCCTCACGCACTTGACATTGCGAACCAGGTACCAACGGAGGCTCTTAAAGGAAGCCAAAGGAAGGTGGTCTCCTAGAGGAGGTGACAGTGCCTGTAGGGCCTGAAGAGTGTCAGACCGTTAGGGAAGGCTTCTCTGAGGAGGTGTTACTGAGCTGGAACTGAGAAGTGAAGATTTGAGGGAAGAGAATTCCATGCAGAGGGACCAGCAAATAAAAAGGTCCCAGGCGGGAACACTCTTGGTGTATTTGAGGAGCAGAATGAATGTCAGGGTAGCTGATGAAGCTGAACAAAGGTCTTAGAATCTCCGATAATGGCGTGAGATATACTGGTTGTTTAAAAATCACCCAACCACAGTAGAAAGAATAAATAAGATAGGAACACGTTATTGACAAAGCGTAGTGAGAAATGTTTCTTTCAGACCTAATCAGTATCCAGTTTCTAAAAACCTCACTATCCAATTTAGAGGATGATAATGTCAGATTGAACAATATACCTGAATATCTGGCAGATTTCTTGAGAGAAAACTAAAGATAGAGTTCTAGTTTCAAGCCTTCCATCAGTTCATTGGGTCATTCTAGGCAAGTCACTTCTCTCTGGGCTTGGTTCATTCCTTTTCTGCTTAATAAGGTGACACAGATTTAAATGCCTGCAGGGGACAGGCAGGAGAGTAATGAGTGAAGTTGGTCAGTTATAAGATTATTGGGGGATAGTGGAGTTGGAATTGGCTCGTGATGACTGGGAGAAGTCATGTTCTACCAAGCCAAAACCCAAAACCAAACCCGTTGTCATCAAGCCAATTCCAATTCATAGTAACCATATAAAACAGAATGGAACTGCCCTATAGGTTTTCCAAGGCTATAAATCTTTACAGAAGTAGGCTGCTTCATTTCTTTCCCATGGAGCTGCTGATGGGTTCTAACCACCAACCTTCTGGTTAGCAGCCGAATGCCTTAACCGCTGCACCAACAGAGTTCTTTGTTTTTACCAAAAGAGGTTGCTAATTTCAATGTTTTGAATTGTAGCTGATGAGAAGGAGGAAAAAAAAATCAACATCAGACACAGCCACTTTCTGATGGATAAAAAGACCATTCTCTAATCATGTCAGACACAAAAACAAGAACATTGCTCAAACCACAAAAAAGACCAAACAACCCCCTCCACCCACAGTATGAATTATTGCTGCTGCTTTTATTATTATTGTGGTAAAAAATATATAACATAAAATTTACTACTTTAACCATTTTTTTTTTTTTTATTAGGATTTGGGTGAAGTACTTTAACCATTTTTAAGTGTACAATTCAGCAGCATTAAGCACATTCATGATATTGTGTAACCATCACTACTACCTACTTCCAAAACTTTCCGTCACCTCAAACAGAAAGTGTACCCTTTAAGCAATAACTCCTCATTGCCCTCTCCCCTGAACCTCTGGTAACTTCTCTACTTTATTCTTTGATGAATTTTCCTATTCTACATACTATATATACATATATATATGAACACCTCATTGCCATCGAGTCAGATCTGACTCATAGCAACCCCTCTTTGGGTTTCCGAGGCCATATCACTACAAAAGTAGATTGCCCAATCTTCCTTCTGAGGAGTGGCTGTTGAGTTTGAACCACCAGGCCTCTGGTTAGCAGTCAAGTGCCTTAGGCACTATGCCACCAAAGCTCCTAGATATTTTATATAAGTGGGATCAAGCAATATTGTCTCTGTGTCACTTAACATAATGTTTTCAAAGTTTATGTTGTAGCAGGTACTTCATTACATTTTTTTTTAATTGTATTGTGATATGGGTGAAAGTTTACAGAGCAATTTCATTTTCCACACAGAAGTTCATACACATGTTGGTTCATGACATTGACTACAATTTCCCACAATGGAACAGCTCTCTTCCCACTTCCTCCTCAATTACCTCTTCCCTGTGTCCTTCCCTCCCATGCATTCCTGCCCCGAGCGGTCGCCCTGTGTATACGTTGCCCTTCTATTCTCCCATGATCAGCCTCTCTAAGGTGTGTATCTACCTGATGTAAATGTTCAGTCTATATGCTGGTCTTACTTGGCTGGAAGCCACAGGAGTTCAATTCCAGACCTAAATGACAGCTAGGGGCCATAGTCTCAGGGGTTTCACCAGGCTCTGTCAGACCAGCAAGCCTGGTTTCTCTCTCTCTCTCGCTCTCTTTTTTTTTTTTTTTTTTTAATAATTTTGAGTTTTGTTCCACATGGTTCTCCCACTCTATCCAGGATTACTTCATTACGTTGTACTGCTGAGTAATATTCCCTTGTATGTACATACCACATTTGACTTATCCATTGATCCATTTTGGGCACTTGGGTTATTTTCAACTTTTGGTTCTTGTGAATACAGTAATGCTGCAGTGAACACTGTTGAAAAGTCTCTGAATTCCTCCTTTCAATTGGTTTAGTTATTTGCTAGGAGTAGAATTGCTGGATCATGTGTAATTCTGTGTTTAACTTTTTGAGGAACTGCTGAACTATTTTCCATAGAGGCTGTACCATCCCCACCAGCAATGCACAAGGGTTTGAATTTCTCCATATTCTCTCCAATACTTGTTATTTTCTGTTATTTTTTTCCTTTATAATGACCATCCTAGTAGGGGTGAGCTCTGGTAGCATAGTGGCTAAGGCACTTGACTGCTAACCAGAAGGCTGGCGGTTCACACCCACCAGCCACTCCTCGGAAGGAAGGTTGGGCAATCTACTTCCGTAGTGATACTGCCTCGGAAACCCAAGGAGGGGTCGCTATGAGTCGGGGCCGACTCGACAGCACACAACAACAACAACAACAAGGACTGTTGATGTTGACCATCTTTTGATGTGCTTATTGTCTATTTGTATATCTTTTTTGGAGAAGTGTCTATTCAAATCCTTTACCCATTTGTTAATTGGACTGTTTACTTTCTTGTTGAGTTGCAGGGTTGTTTATGTATTCTGGATATTAAACCCTTGTCAGATAAAGGACATCTATGGTGCAGTGAATTACTTAATATAGTACTTCTAAGCATAGTCTTTGTGACTCACACAGCATGATTGGATGGGACTATGCAAATGAAGTGCTTGTGTCCCACCAAGGGGATTGGACAGGTTGCTACTAATGCAAATAAGGTATACCTGTGATGGTTAAGGTTATGTATCAACTTGGCTGGGCCATGATACTCACTGGTTGGCAGTTATGTAATTAAGTAAGTTGGCTGTTTTGTAATGACTCCATTTTGGGTCTGATAGAATTATCCTCCATTTTGTGATGTTTTGTATATTCTATCTAGCCTCTATGCCTGTGGTTATGGTCCCATTTGGTAGTGAGTTGTCCATTATGTTAATGAGGCAGGATTAGGGTGGGATGTATCTTAAGTCATCACTTTACTAGAGGGTGCGACTCAAGTTACCTCCCTTACCCAAGTCAGCACAATTATCATCACCCTTCTTGAATTCACACCCATGTACCACCTTGCTCAAGTAAGGGGAGTATCCGTGAAGGTGTAATCTGCATCCGGTATGTGTATGAATGATCTGGCCAAGTTCCCTGCCTTGCTCTGAACCCTGCATCTGCTTGTCATCATCTGACCTCTGGTTCTTGAGCTCTACTACAACTCTCATCTCTCTAACTAGCAAAATTTCACCGGGAACAAATTGGAATTGTAGTGGCTATGCTGGAGATATTTTGACAAGAAGAGGATTGTTTATTTGAGAAGTATTTTAGAACAAAAAGTAGGAAGAACCCTCATGAAGAGATTGTCATATTTGTCAAAAAGAGAAATTTTTCTGTTTAACATAGGAGATTTTTCCCTCCTTAATTTCTGCACTCTGGAGATTAATTATGTGCTGGCATTATTTTTTAAAAAATTGAGGTAAAATTCATATATCATTAACCATTTTAAAATATATAATTCAATGGCATTCAGTGTTCACAATGTATGATGTTGTGTAATCATCACCTTTATCTCGTTCCAAGACATTTTCATCACCCCAAAGAAAATCCCACACCAATTGTTTTAGAGCTGCAAAAAGGGCACAGGGACAGCATCCTCCCCTGACTTCTTCTAACTTCTAAAGAGGGAGAGAGAAGAATCAATACCAACAGCCCAAAGCTGATTCTTATGAGGCCAGACATGCCACCACTCTCCAACCTTTTTTATTTTAACCAACGCTGACACCAACAGTACCTCCCACAGCATGCTCTGCTTCTCTGCTGGGTTTGATAATTTGTTCCAATGGCTACACAGAACACACAAACAATGCTCACAATTATGGTGTTTATTAGGGACGTAGGTTACAATTCAGGTTCAGGAATGCTCAGGATACAGTTATTCAATCAGGGCAGCCTCCCCTCTGCTAAGCAGTAGTAGCTGGGCACCATCTAGTTCTTCTGGTCTAAGGGTCATGTAGGCTGAGGTTCTATGGTCCACTAGTCCCTTGTACTAATTGTTTCCATGCATCTTTTCCATGCATCTGCTATACCTGAGTGCATCACCACAGCCACTGTGTCAATCCATCTTGCTGAGGGCCTTCCCCTCTTTTGTCAACCCTCCACCTTACCAAGCATGACATCCTTCTCCAGGGAACAGTCTCTTCTGATAACATGAC